CTCTCTCTCTCTCTCTCTCTCTCTCTCTCTCTCTCTCTCTCTCTCTCTCTCTCTGTAATACATGTATTCTATTAAAACGTTAATGTAATAGAGATTATGTTGAGTATGCAGTTACACACATGCATCATGCAGACGCAGTATTTGGATCTGAGTGTTTTTGCTCGATTTGTATTTTCTAGGGGGAGTAGCGACCCAGAAAAAGTTCTGAGAGCATACCCACTAGCGACATCTGTTGAGCTGCTGTTGAAATGTTTTGATAATCTTCAGGTAGAAATTTGCCAATTCCATTTACCAATCACTTGAGGTGCAACTGCCTAGTTTAGATATACTACCTGTGAACGTGGCTATAGTATATATACAGTGTTTCCCCTGCATTGACACGAGCGAGGCGGCCTCGCTCAAATCTCAGCCGCCACGCAGAAATTTATCTAAAAACACCGCCTAGCTGACGAAAATCACTGTTCTTCCATCAATAAACTACACTTTATTGACAGCGTTCGAAATTAGTGCCGACCCGGAGGCCCGAGGCCACCAAGTTTTTGCTTCGGCCACCATCTCTACGAAACTGCCGGTCCTCCTGACCGGCACTTTTTCCCCTAATAATACACTGAAATACTACGGTTATCGCAACAGTCAGTTTAGACAGCATTCTAATACGCTCCGTTCCTGAACATAGACGGGGTATCCAAAACTTCTAGAGCCGAGGGCATGAACTCCCTCAACGCATGATTCGCCACACGAACAAAACCTCGTGACTGTGTTTTTATGCCCGCATAACAATAAGTTTATATGTCGCAGGGGTTATCGTGGGGAGTGAGGGCACGACCAGTGACACCTGACACGCACTTAATCAAAGTTGTTAACTGAGTTCGTCACTTTTCTTTACGTAGAAAGTGGACTATTTTTATTCAGTTAGATATCTAGAAGCAATGTAAACTGTATATACTTCAAGATTCTAGGCACTTGTAACTTTGCGGATATGCGGCAGCATTGATCTATGCATGGTGGTACCCAAGACTGGGGAGGAGAAAAACGAAAGTAAAACCTTTCCCAGAAGCTTGTTTGTTCCTTTTGACAACTTGAAAAAGTGATTCAAGAGACATATAATGTGTTCAGAATAGCTTAGAATGCACCAAATTGCACTTTTTTTTTATTTTTCGGGGGAGCATGCCCCAGACCCCCCTAGCATGGCGATCACCTTCGGTGCTTGCATTGCTCGCTTCTCGGATTGCGCAACCACAAAATTTGTTTACTGCCTCGCTGACCTTTTTGGCCTGGGGAAACACTATATATATATATATATATTTATTTAGCTTATTTAACTAGCTTAGCTTGGCTGCATATAGTTGCATAGTACGTATGTTACAGATACATTTTTTGCAAAACACCTACGTTTTTTTCCCATCTCACGTTTCATCACGAATTTTTTTCCTCTTACGTTTAATTGCATTTTGTTCTCGTCTCATGTTTCATCATGTGTTTTTCTCGTCTCACGTTCCATCACGTGTTTTTCTCGTCTCACGTTTCATCACGTGTTTGTCTCGTCTCACGTTTTATCGAGCTTTCTCCCCGTCTCGCAAAAATTAACACGTGTTTTTCTCGTCTCATGTTTCATAACGTGTTTTTCTCGTCTCACGTTTCATCACGAATTTTTTTCCTCTCACGTTTTATCGCACTTTCTCCCCGTCTCGCAAAAATTAACACGTGTTTTTCTCGTCTCACGTTTCATCACGTGTTTTTCTCGTCTCACGTTTCATCACGTGTTTTTCTCGTCTCACGTTTCATCACGTGTTTTTCTCGTCTCACGTTTCATCATGTGTTTTTCTCGTCTCATGTTTCATCACGTGTTTTTCTCGTCACGGTTTATCACGTGTTTTTCTCGTCTCGCGTTTTATCGCGCTTTCTCCCCGTCTCGCAAAAAAAATAAACGCGTGTTGTTGTTTTTTCGCAGATCGTCTCGTTGAGCATCAGGTGTGTCTCTCACCTGGCGACGGTCGACGGCTGCCGAGCGAGCCGCGCCTTCACCTGCGGCATCCTCGATCAGCTGCTGACGGCCACTGCACACCTGTTAACGAGCGACGGCGCGCACCTGTTAACGAGCA